ACACATCAGATAGAAAATATTTTATCGTCATCATCGGCTATAATAAAAGTTTTTTACGCTTAAGATTTTGGATTATGATAAAGCACACAGGACCTATTTGTCTAAGGGAAAGGAAGTCTTCAGGGTAGATTTTTTTTGTGGGAAACAAACTGTTAATTCACAATCAATTGTACTTATGAAAAACCTATGAACCTCCCATGCAGCCGCTAGAATTTACCGGTGCTCAGCTATCTTACCGCTTGGAGACTAGTTGGCTTTCTGAACTTACGCAATATCTATCTGAATTTGAATATTTGCATAAAAAACGAGCAAAATAAAATGACACATTGTAAATAGTACATTTTACTGAAATCAAACTTTCTTTGAAAAAGGAAAATTAATTGTAAGGAATAAGATGGATGCATTTAATTAAACGGCGCCGCAATAACAGCGCTGATCATATGTTTCGTATAGGAAATCATTTTCTTCGTGTTATCGTATAACGGAAAATATCCACAGATTATATTTTACAGTTTTTAAGAAGTCATGGGTTATCTGCTTTAAGAGAACACCTTCGTGGGCAATTTTCTAAATAAAATTGGCTTGAATTCACGTTACGCATCGGGAAAATCATAAAGACCACAAGCAGCTAAACTGTTCGGTTGCCAACAACAAACTACCAACATCCAGCAATCTTATTCACTCAACTATAGTGAACTTAAACTAATGTTTGTATATTATTAGTAGTATTAAAATAACGAAAATATTTATTCTCTAATAAAAATTTTTGTTTGAATATCCTCTCTAGTAAGGTATTTCCTTTGGTTGGAGATTTGTCAACAATAAATGCTATGTTCAAACAAGATATTTATTTAGAGCATAATGCTTCAAAAATGTATGCTGGGATTCCTAGAAACAAATATCGCCGGAAAATATATCTCCGAAAAAATTATTTAATTATTCATATTCTTATGATTAATTATTAAATAATTAATAACTTTTATAATTATTAAATGAAATGCTTATTTATACTTTACCAAATGTACAGCAACACTCTTTCTTTACAAAAAATACCATATTGAATAAATTATATTGTGAGCTAATAAGTAACAACATTGCTTTGTTCAATTAAGATACAAAAACAAGCCGAACAAACATTAAATTGGAAGTCAAACAACAAAAATCAGCGTTATATTTTCAAATTTTCACAATTTAATTTTCATTATATCTATTTTTCCTGAAAATAAGATATAATGAAACGCAGTCCTTATTTTTTCCTGAAAAGTGCACAAAAGTAAAGAGCGTCGATTCTACTTCTCTCATTTGTACATTATTTTACCTTCGAATTAAAAACTTTTACATTACAGACAATTATGTCTTTTTTAAAAGATCAGGTTACTCCTTTAAAATTCAACTCATTCATTCAACTCCAATAAACTCATTTTAAAGGTTACTCCTTTAAAATTCAACTCATTCATGCAACTCCAATAAACAGAAAAAAATTGGAAATCGTAACAAAATGCCCCCCATTTGTTTCCAAAAAAGTGTTTTTAATATAGCAGAGACAAATCTAATAATTACATAGCGTAGAAAAATATTTACCTTAACACAGAAAAAATTCAAGGGTCATTTATTTGTATGTGAATATTTATGTTAAAATAACAACAATGATTTAAAACTATTAAATCCTTGTTAGTTCATTTGAAATATTTCTTCTGTTCACAAGTCCTTTTACGTTTTCAGAAATGATATAAATTATGGTCTGATCTAAAGCGTCATACCCGATTTTATTCAAATGAAGTTAATCACAACGAAGAATGCTACAAACGTTAATACGTAAATGTTTAAGAAACTATCGATGGATGGATTTGTGAATATACGGCTTGTTTTTTAAAGAAAAAAAGAATTCGTTTCTAAAAAATACACTAGCACTGTGTATTGCTTGCTGCCTTGGATTCGTGATTAATTTATTTTCAATTGTCGGTTTTATCTATATCGATAATTTAGAAAATTGTTTCGCTTCCTTACTAATCAATAAATGTAATCTAATTATCTAAAATACTAATTTATTTTAATATGTTATATTTAACATACTGATTATGGATATTCACAAAATATATTTGCAACATATAAGATTGTGTAAATACATGCTTAAAAATTTAGTATATATCTATGCTACTTTACACATAAAAACATGTCAAAGATTGAATCTTTAACTTGGTTAGCCCCTTCTTAAACAAAATCTGACACTTCGCTCTGAATTAATCAAAGGCTAATTAGAAAATATATGTCTTTTTTAATATACTTTTATGTCGATTCGTTTTTCTATTCCTTGTTGACTGAATAGTTGACTAAATGGCTTCAGTATTTAAAAAAAATAAAATCTAGAGCCCATATGAAAAGGTTATGATTATTTTCTCATAAGTAACCTAAGTAAGTTCTCTTTAGAACGCCCTCTTTGAAAGAAGTCCCTCTCATAATCTTAATGTGTTATTCCGTAATTTACGGATCTAATCCAACCCAACTGATTTGGGAACTTACCTCAAATTTTTACAGCATCCTTCATTAATTTATCCTTTTAGCTTACCTCGAGATTTGAGCAACTTTCTGCATCTAACATATATATAAGTAATGCTTCTAGCCCTAATTGCTATTTGTATGAGCCTCCTCTTCAGTTCAAGGTTTGTTACGATATCAAACTTGTTAATAAAGAATAACATTAAAGCTTTAAAAAAACTCAGCTTATTAATTTAGTTGCCTTTTTTCATTGATTTAGAAATGTATTTTCAAGGAAATGCAAGCGAAGAATTAATACGCTAATATTTGTTATTTAACAAAACCTCAAAATCATAATTCAAAGAATGTTTACGAATGTGCAAAACAATTGTTACTTAGGCTGCTACCTTTCCTTTTAAGTTCCAACAAATGAAAAAAAAAATTCTGAAGCATTTTAGTAGCAGTCAAATATAGTAGTTCTGGCTTCTAATTAGTATAAAATTCCCTTCATGCAGATTTTTCGGATTACAATTCGTTAAATACGTGTTAAATGTAAAAAAATACCGCGAAATACTTAATGTAGCCATTCCGCTTTACCAGGAATAGAGCTCTGACACGATACAGTTATTATTTAAGTATTATATCTCTTTGAGTCACTAAAAATATTAAGTATCATACATAGGCAGATTTTGCTTAATATAATGAAAAGTTTTCTTATGTTTCATTAGATTAGTATTTACAATTGTAAATATGGTGAAATGACTTTCAATTAAAATGAAAATGCAAAGCATTTCTAAAATATAATGCAAAAATTAATTTAATATTTTTATAACGTAAATATCAAAGACAAAGAATGAAATATTTTTAATGATGACACTAAAAATAAATTTAAAATGAAGTAAAAAATTATACAGGGAACAAAAATACACTTCAGCAAAATCTAAGGCAAACTAAGTACATTCAATGAGTACAATGATATGAAATATATTGTGAATTAAAAATAAAATGGGAAAATAAATAGTTATTCTTTAACTAGCAAAAGCATAAGTTCTTACTGTTGTACGTAGCTTTGACTCATATTTCTTGAAAATTTAACGCTTGACAATATTCTACAATAATCTTTAAATTTACGATATAATTAATACATACATTCAAAATTAAAATATTTTACACTCAGATTTGATACTTAATGACAGGGTTTCACCACCAATTAAAAGTTCTTCTTTTCACTGAATTCGCATACATCTAACCAAAATTTTTTTTAAAGATTTTCTAAAAAGACAAAGTTCTGTATCTAAATATCTGAGTTATGGTAATGAAAATGATAAGATAAATTTAAAATATAATAGCATTTTCACTTTAAAAGTAAAAGTAATGAAGAAACATACCATAATTTAGAAGTCCTGAACAGTGTGATATGTTTTAAAAACATGGGTGAACACATAGTCCTACATTACATTCTTCGCACCAGTATCTGGTTTCGCGTCTAATTCTTTTTCCTTTATCATTTCTTTGTTTATTGCACACAACACATCTACGCGAAGGATTGTTTCGAGTAGCACCAGTATGAGGAATAACAGAAGGAAAATGTCTTCCAGTTAAACGTACGATGCTACCATATTGTGATGCGTCATTTGGGTGCGATAACTGTGTTAAATGCTCTTCAATTAATCTCTCTATCAGTCTCAGTCTAAATTCAAGATGCCTGTTAAGGCCTTCCACACTTCGTATAAATGACGAAAGCATTCCATACGGCTTGATCTAAGAGATGCCGAAAAATCTTTTTATAATACTTTCGTTGTTGGTTTCTTATGACTGGATAATACGCTAGACACTGGTCAGCTTTATCCACTCCTCCCATTTTTTTATTGTAGTCAATTATAGCAGTAGGTTTTCGTATGAGTTTATCATTTTTCGAAAGAGTTTCGAAATCTGTACCATGGTAGGTACTTAAAAATGAAATGGGTTTTTTTGTCTTGCCATTTCAGAACGCATATTTTGCCTTTCTGAAAGGCCATAATTTCGCCCTTCTTCAATCTTTCTGATTTCAGTTCTTGAGGAAGACCTTTCCTATTTGCACGCAAAGTGCCACATATATCTGTTTTTCCCGCGATAAGTAATTCCGAAAGTTCAAGTGAAGTATAAAAGTTGTCTAGCGTTAAGCTATAGCCTTTGTTTAGTAAATCATGTATCAGCGTCATTGCGCTTTTCGTTGCAACTCCAAATTGTTCGTATCGCAGATCAAATTTAGTACCTTTACCGGTATAAAGTACGAAATTCCAAATATATCCACTTGACGATTCGCATAATTGGAATATTTTAATTCCGAATCTAGCTCTTTTAGTCGCTATATATTGTTTCCAACCTAGGCGGCCTTTATAACCCAGCAGAGATTCATCTATAGCTATATCCCTGTCAGGGATATATGCGTTTTTGAATTTTTGTCGCAGCCTTTCAGAAAAGGTATAATTTTTTTTTTCAGTTTAGGCTGAGGATGTACACTTTTGTCGAAAGTTTCGTTATTTTCAAAATGTAAGAACTTCATAAGGAGACTGTATCGCCTCTCTGTCATTATTTTGCCTATAGATGGAGTGCTTATTATTGGTCTTTGAGTCCAAAACCATTTCTCCACTGGCTTCTGCATAATTCCTTGCAATAACAATGCAAAAAAATGCAAATGCAAACACAATGCAAAAAACACTTTTATTTCACTTGGATTTGTTTCAGTCCATGCGCGTGTTCTTGCTCGTGGACTTAATATAGTTGCGGCCAAATACTGGGAGGCATATCTATTAGTTTCTTCAACTACAATGTTTACAACTTCGTCATCGATAAAGAGAAGGAGGAATTGTAAAGGATCATTCGCATCCTTTATGGTCATTTTTAAACCTGGGCAAGCGCTGAATGGAAATTTAGGAGGAACAGGTTGAGTTTTAGAAGTGTCTATCTTGCACCAATCCCGCACTTTGCTTAATTGTTCTTCATCTGAATCACTTTCAGTTTCAGATGAAGATAAAAACTCGCTTTCTGAGCTAGATAATAAACTTTCTTCTTCAGATTCACTAGCCATATATGCTTCTTTTCAAAACAGCACGAAATAGCAGCAGCAGATAACACAACAGCAGAATAGATGAAGTGGCTGATGAATGAGATCAGGCAGTTCGGCTTTTATAGAGTAAAATCACTTTGGGGGTAGAAAACAAGTAAATAGCTTGGTCAAAGGAGCTTCTTGAGAAAATAAATGTATTTTCGAGTTACAATGCAATTTCCTTGTAATTAACTATATAAGAGTTACAATGCAAGTATTTATATACTACGTGCATTATCGAGATGTTAATAGAAACCAAAAAAAAAAAAAAAAATTCTTTGTAGCAAAATTGTTAACGATATTATTTCTCCAAGACATTTACGCAGGTGTGTATTCTTTTCATGAATGATGAAAAATAAGTTAACAGTTTTCCGAGCAGATGCTCCAAATTATACAGCTTTGAAGATTAAGTAATGAAAACATAAACTCTTATTTCTGGTTATGTGCTGAAAAAGATATTACCCTTTAAAAAAAAAAAAACACCTAATAGCGGAATCTCCAAGTTGACTTCAACGTAAATATACCTCCAGGGGGTACTGAACTAAAAGCTTACCACCTTTGTACATTTTCTACTTTGTATGGGAGACCATTACCTTTGTGCAAGGACAAAAAAGCATCCGCTATCTATAACTCTGATCTTTCTCAGTTTGTTCCTTTTGTTAACTATGACGAGAAAATGGAGCTGCCGTAAATTCTAAATTTATTGCTTCTTCCAAAGACTCTGATTTCAAGTTGTGTATTTGCCGTCTGTTAGTAATTTAAGCTACCCTGGCTTTAAATTCAGAAACATCCTTTCATCAGTAATTACAGTACATATAAACACAAATATCATTATTTAAATTCAGACTTTAAAATCTTCATCTATGTTAAACTATAGAAAGCGCAAGCAGTTTATTTCGTGAAAATTTATCACATTTTTCGTAGGAATTATTAAAACGGTTTTGTATGTAAACTATATATGTAAACACACATACAAAACACTGTGTATACATATGGTGATGTATGTTTGTGAGCATGAGTGCGCGTGTATGTTATATTTCCCTATTATATATCAGTATTTTATTGAAAGTAGTTGTAGACGACATTTAATAAAAAAAAAAAAAAAAAAAAAAAAATGAAAAGTATAGTAAATCTCAAAATGCCATTATGAAACTGAATATTACATGAAATCGAAAATTTATGTGAAGCAACTATGGAATGAAAATAAATTCTAGTTAGGTTTCACAGCATACAAAATAACACTTTAATCTAACCACTTGAGTAAAACGAATGCCAAGAAAATATCCTGAAAATGTATATCGGTGAAAAAAATCTCCGGAAAATGCCTCACGGAAAATATGCATCTGGTTAAAAATATCGCTAGAATAATAAACAATGTAAATCTTTTTATCAGGTACATATACACATGCACCTTGAAAAATATTTGTAATTTTTATACTTTGTAGAGATATATAGAGGATTCTTTAATATTAAATATATTTTTCATTTATTTATTACAAAATATTCTTTCTTACTAAAAATATGCTTAATGATTACATCGTTTATATATCCTAATTAATTATGAATATTTTTTTAGTTTCTTGTTATTTGTGTTTCGTTTCTGAGAATTGTTAAAATTCAGGCAATCTGAATTTTACACAAAAATAAATTCTTTCCTTAGTAACAAGTATAACTTTTGCATTAGAAATTATTCACGATAAATGCAATCTTGCTTTTTCGCCAACAGAATGTTTTGGCTTATTTGACTACATCAAAGCATACTAGAGCTGTCTGCCTAAGAGGAGGGTCTCTTCGTGGAGGACTTTTTAAAGGTTAGGTTATTTAATTACGGCAAAGCCTCGAGGGCTATCTGCCTAAGGGGAGGGATGGCTTCGTGGAGGACTTTCTAAGGGAAACTGGCTCGTATACACGTTACACATGGTGAAAACCACGAAAACAGCCATGCAGCCAGCCCGTTCGTTATAACTTAAAAGAAAAACAGAGCCCGTTTTTAAATTTATAAACAAACATTTAAATTAATAATTAGTATTTGTTAAGGAGAACAGCTTTGCAGACAGAAAACCTATAATTTCATTTTTCATTTTGTGAATTTATTTCTTGCATCCATTTTATTTTAAAACCAAATAAGTAAAACGTGCAAGCCCAAAGGGATTATTTTTCAGATATATAAAATTAAAATGATGAGTTTAAAATGAGCAACAGTAAAGCCTCTCCTCTAAAAAACTTTAAAAGGTACGTGTTACAATACTATATGAATGTGAAAAAAAATTATTTTATTTAAAACATTTTGGCGTTTGAAACATAAAATAAAAGTAGCGAATACTCTATCAAGAGTATCGAAAGACGTATAGAATTTTAAAGGTACCGTAAGGTATTTTTCATTCTTTAAGCGCAACATTTTTGTTAAAATTTATATTTTTATAGTTCAACAGCTTAGAATTTTATAAAACAAATTCATAATCAAAATCGCTGTTATTAGTTATCGAAAAATAACCAAGATGTGATTTTTGCGTAAATGTCACTAAACTATATAAATTGCTATTATCTAATCACACTATGAATGTTTCTTTCATGTGAAAGCGTCCCTTTTTCTATTTGTATGGAACTGTCGTGTGTCGAAATACTATCAGAACACTTTCAAGCGAGCTTCTGAATGTAAACAAAGAACATCCCATCTGGTGACCGGAGCTTCGAAGCAGTGCTTCACTTTTAGTGCCGGTTGGCCACTCCTTCCTATCTTACCTCCATGGTTTCAATATCATTACTCATTGTTGCCTCCTTTGCTAAGACATCCGCCTTCTCATTGCCCAAACAACCAATATGGGCTTTAACTCAATTAAATTCAATTGATGCCTTACCTCCAATTGTACCACCAATTTTTTAATAATTTGAATATTTAAATTTTGCTGCTCGGGATCAGAGAGTGCTTGAAGAACTGGCATACAATCAGAATGTATTGTAATTACGTGTGATTCATTAAGATTTCTTGCAAGCCACTCCAAGGCTTTTTGTATAGCAATCAGTTCGGCTTGATACACCGAATTATATTTTTCTAATTTAAACTTCGCATGTTCAGTCTCCAGTCCATGATAGAACACTACAAATGCTAAGCTAATTTTTCCCTCCAACCCCGAGCCATCCGTATAGACATCAATATCATTAAATATAGGAATGCATCTATTAAAAGTAATTGATCTTCTTTTCCTTGGATGCAAAAGATGACAATTAAAAATATAAAAAGCAGTGTTAAAAACAATATCATCTGTATATGTATAAAAGTCAATCTTATTTAATCTCAAAAATAAATAAAAACATTTTATAATAAAAGTCATAGGACAACGGAATGCCCGCAAGTATATTAGCAGTTTCCGTATTAGCAAGTTCTAAAAAGTCTTGTGATTGCCAGCAGCCAGCCTCTCTGGATAGAATTCAATTTGTTCCTTAGTCTCAGCAACTCCGCCGCCCTAGAACCCCAAGCTCCAACGCCGTACATTATAATAGGAGCAATAACACATTCATAAATTTGTTTCATAGTTCTACTCTTAATGGCTAAAATCTCACCAGAGAAGGATCTCTTATAAAATTGTAAAATAGTATCCGTTTTTTAATGGACCATATCAAAATGATCCTTAAACGGTAACTTATCATCAAAAATAACTCCAAGGAACTTTAAATTCCTTCCTATCTTTACCTTCTCACCTTTATATCGCAATCTGGGATATCTAGTATGTTTACCTCCCCGCGAGAACATAGCCTTGGTTTTGGTAATATTTAATTTTCTATTCAAACGCCATTCTTCTATAATATCCGAAATTTTCACAAAAGTTCTGATAACAATCACGAGGAATTCCAAGTTGCGAAAGTACACCCATTTTTCATGTATCCTGCTTAAAATAACCTAATGTCGCTGTACAGTGGCACCTTAACTAAAAACGGTGCTGGACGATGATTCTCCACCACAAAGATTTGGGATTTGGCGATTGGGTCCCCTAATCCCCAGTCGTCCTTTTAAAGGGGGAGTATGTAAGGTATTTCTCCCGCCTTCTTAGCATGCCTTCGCGGTGTAGTAGTCAGCACGCTTGGCTTGTATTCGTGAGGTCCGTGGATGGAGTCCCGGCGAAGGCGTTGCTCATTTTTCATCACTCCTGCTTTCAAAAAATACCTAATGTCTTTATATTATCATAAAAGAAATTTCTCAGCTATGTGATTAGCACTGAAAAGTAACATTATTAGATTAATTTACAAAACAGTTATTACTCCCATTACATCATATGATGTTGGAGCTTGTGGTTCGAAAGCCGCGGACCTGCAGCGAATCAGAAATAAATTAGATACGATACGACGACTTGGTTGCTGCTTCTGACATGCTTTAATTGTAATATGTATATATGTCTTCTGCTTTGCATATATTATCTAAACTCGTAATATGTAATGTTAGCACTTGCACTTGTAACAATGTATCTGCATTCGTTATAACATCTGTTCTTGTAACTTGTACGAACAGCGCAAATTCTATAAAACTCAAATTTTCTTTGCAATAGCATCCGCGCATTATGTACATAATCATTGTAGTTAAATCTTTAATGCACCATCTTCTATTTCGTATTCTGTTAATACCTTTGTATACGCATTCTGCTCTGCATACCCCAGTTTTAGTGTTGTATACTATTTCTAAAGTTGCATCATGTTTCATGTATTTTATCAATGTATTTCCTGACTCATGTATTTTAAAATGTATTTCGTGTCTCATATATTGTATGAATGTACTGCATGTATTTTATGTATTTTATCAAGTATCATGCTTATCTCTAAGCCTTTGCTCACTGTCTGTACATTTTATAGTAAGTATAGAATCTATAGATACCTCAGTATTCCCAATATACAACACTATCACGCATTTGCAATATGCTTAACGTTTATGTATCGAGTGAGAGATATTGGTATCTAATTACGCCTTATGTTCATGTGTTTAATGTGTTGTT